TGTATCTTTATTGGGAGTTGTCTCAGTGAGTAAGAAAATGTCTACTCTTGATTTCCTATTGTTATGGTAACTGAGAGATAAATGCAAGTAATTTAATGTCACATTTTGGAACTGTATCTAAAGATTTTAATAGGAACTGTTCTTTGAAATGTTGTGTTCTTTTATTAATGTTGCTTCATTTAAAATATTTGCTTAAATCTCAGAAGGATTTATGTGTTCTTTTGATTATGGGAAATCTAGTACTATTAAATTTGATCTTGCTTATTTTTAAAAGAATTGAGTGCTAAAGAGAGGCAGCCCAGCATCTCCATGGGTCTGATACAAATGTGAGACATTGAATTCATTCTTGAAGACCATATCCAGAACTGAATTACCTGTTGTATTGCTGAAAATGTGTAAGAAACAAAAAGGAAGCAAACTGTGGAAAGCCTGTTAATAACTAGTACATTTACGGTTGTAATTTTGTATGAGGCTCAGAGGCCTTGGGATGTGGAATTTCTTTTGTCTTCTGATGTTTGACTTGTTGTTTTCTCTATTTTAAAACATATATGACACAGCATGGTTTTTCACTTGGTTTGGGGATTTTTTTTCTCTTTTTGATAAGAGGACAAGCAGGTCTCCTTTGTTTTACTTAGCTTTATTTTAAATAATATTTTATTTTAAGAGGATTATTTTACAGTGTTTACAGTGCACTTCAATTTTTTATTGTGTCATGCCCTTCCAGCCCCTTGGTGGGATGAGAGGTGAACGTATGTATTATATAATTCATAATTAATTTATGATGAATCACATATGATGAATACTGCTTATTAAATATTAAAGCCTTGCCTACAGTCATGGCAGTACTGTGGCAGTAGCACACTTGTCTCTTCCTGTGGTACTACTGAGCAGTTGACTTATGCTGTGATATCAGCACCCCCTTCTAAGAGAAGTCTTAGCCACTTCCCTGGACAAATGGTGTTGAGGAGAATTGGCTCTCTTTCCGGAGTAGGTGCCTGTCACTGCTTTCTCCCTGCCCCTTGTGGAGCAGCAGTTGTGGATATAATGAGAGTGCAATATCTGGAAGGCACAGCTGAGAACAGAGAAGGTGCTGCTGGTAGCTCCTCAACGCCACAGGGACTGTCATGAGTCCTGGTTCCTTCCTTCCTTCAGTGATAGATAGCTGGACAGAGTTGAGGAATAGCTAACAGAAGGTAATGGCCTGGATCTGGACAAGTAGAAATCTAGGCTAGATTTTGACAGTCCGCTTTTATTAGTGAGGATTGGAATTTGGACAAGGGAATAATTTACCTGCAGAGGTCATTCCAGCATCTGGAACTAATCAGTTCCCAAATAAAGGCAGTAAAACAGAGGGGAGAAACAATGTAGGGAATTGCCTACTACCAGTTTAGGGCAGTTGGTCCTAATGAAGGTATTTTTCCATATTCATGACAATAAATCTGTTAATCAGAAGTAGTAGAGGAATCAGATATAGACAGAGCTGTCCTGAGTCCTCTGAAAACAGGGGAATCCACCCAGTCAACGTTATAAGGCAGAAAAGGAAAAGTAGCCGGTGTTGTGAGCTCTGCTTTGCCTTCCTGGGAGCACTGACCTGTGTGTCTCACTGACTACAGCAAGGAAAAACGCTGTCACTGTGTGTGATGCAACAGAGCTTAACCCTGAAATCCTTGCTTCCCTGTATT